TGCTCCTCGCCCGGAGTGAGTAATTCCTTCGTAGGCTCGCTGGTCGGTGAGGGAGTTGGATGAGATTCATCATGTAATCGAGTTACTTTTGTTAGAGCTTGATCCCTAGTATCCATTATGTTCTGAGATTGATGTTGCTACGACTTTGCCATGCTTAATGCTTGTCACTTTGGGCCCGGGTGCCATGATTTCAGATCTGAATCCTTTATGTTATCACCATTATATCTATGTTCTAGATCCGATCTTGCAAGTTATAGTCACCTACTACGTGTTGTGATCCGGCAACCCCGGAGTGACAGAAGTCGGGACACTTCCCGATGATGACCGTAGTTTGAGGAGTTCATGTATCCACTATGTGTTAACGTTTTGTTCCGGTTCTCTATTAAAAGGAGGCCTTAATATCCCTTAGTTTCTTTATGGACCCCGCTGCCACGGGAGGGTAGGACAAAAGATATCATGCAAGTTCTTTCCATAACCACATATGACTATTTACAAAATACATGCCTACATTATATTTATGAACTGGAGCTAGTGCCGTATCGCCCTAGGTTATGATTGTTATATGATGAATATCATTCAACGTAATCACCGATCCAATGCCTACAAATATCTCTTATATTGTTTCTGCTAAGTTACTACTGCTACTGTCATTATTGCACTTGCTACAAAATCATTGCTATCACTGTTACTGTTACTATTCTTGTTGCTACTACTATCAAAACTATCATGCTACTTTGCTACTGATCACTTTGCTGCAAATAATTTATCTCCAGGTGTGGTTGAATTGACAAGTCAGTTGCTAATACTTGCAAATATTCTTTGGCTCCCCTTGTGTCGCATCAATAAATTTGGATTGAATACTCTACCCTCGAAAGTTGTTGTGATCCCCTATACTAGTGGGTTATTAGTAACTCTGCCAAGGGGGTGTGCAGAGTTACCACCATTCATAGGGATACAATACTATGATATTGTTCTTTGGCCTCTAGTCACATGCCTAGAAAACATACCATCAACCTTTTCTGGAATTTTCTTCTTTTTATACCTAGTTGTTTCAAAGAAGCTTCCTCAAAATAATTACTATCCAACCAACTCAAATATGTAGGAGTTTTTTTACCCAAACAAGTCATTACTAGTAGGTTGAACATGAGTATTGCAAGTTTTTTCACACAAATTTCCTCTAACATGTAATATTTTCAACACATCAATGCAAGCAAATCATTGTCAGGGACACAACCATTTTAGCCACTCTACACATCATCTCTTGATTAGACAAATAATGAAACAAATTATTATTCACTAAAGGGGAGTTACCTTCCAGATTCCTTTTCCTGGTAAGGTTAACAACTCTAACTTCCTCATTTTTCTGTTGGGTCCGAGCAATGTGTTGTCTAAATCTCAATTTGACCTCAAGAGACAAAGGTGTGATAGGAATAACCTCATTAGTACAATCAGAAGAATGAGATTATACCATGTACTCGTTGGAGACCTTCAGGATATGGTCCACCTCACCCACCACCTCCAACATCCGAGTAGAGTTAGTACCAACCTTTGCATAATATCTAGAATGACTTCTAGGAAACTAATGAACCACGATAACGCCTGAACATTCGGGACTTCACCATGGCAAATCTAAAACTTTCGATGGAAATTTTAGTGACACGAGGACGACAATTTTAGTTGGCAAGCATGTTAACTCCATGGATAATGCATTTTTGCCAGAAAATTGTCGTGCATGCAAACTAAACTTGTCATCCCTGCGTCTCAAAAATTGTCATAAAAAACTTTCGATTTGTCATGGTCAAATCCCAAATGTTCAGGATTTATCATTTTCAAAAATAATTCATCTACATATCTTATTATGTAGAGCAACCATGTGCAGCAGGAACATGAGCCACGATAGTAAGAGTGTTATGTGGGACAATCCACTTGCTAGAGTTCACACCACCTGAGTAACTTCTTCCATTGCCCCGTCGCGAGCCAGGTTCTCAATCACAAGAGCACTATCCACTTCACTTTTTTTGAAGATTCAGACACTTATTTATCAACGGAAGCCATTATTGGACAAGTTTTTCCCCATGCTCATCAGTGTGCCCAACTCTGTTACTACCAAGGGACTCGGAATTATTTGCCCCAGAACATTATCCTGGCTTCTACGTTTAGGAGTACGATTCAGATTTTCAACTATGTCTATGTCAACAGAAACAACAACAAATCGACAAGTAGGGTTACTCACCAGGACTTCCTCAATTTCATATTGAAACTTGTAAAAAATGACCTCCTAGCACCCTTAAGCAACAATAGGGAGCTCATTAATGTTCCTGCAGCCAATTTTGACTCACATAGAGGAATGACAATGTACAAATTATGCTATTGAAAATTCGTTCCTCTAGCAGTTCCGGTTTGAGCCCAACCAGACCACCAACAAATGACACATTTCTTTCACATATTTAACAAGAGGAATTTTGCTCACTTTAACTGAAGCAACTTCGAGAACACCTTCAGAGCCAACAACATCCGACCACGGAGACATTCTCACAATAGCACCACGCGATTTAAGTGTCATATGTTCAACGTATAAAGTCATTTCCACCTCTCTAGCATTAGGAAATCTCATAACATACTGATTAGGACCAATCAGCCGAGCAACACAACACCAACCAGCCCCAACATAAGTACACAATTCATGTTCTACCTCTCTACCAGTAGCAGATCCCTTAGTAATAGTAATGGCTATGCTACTAGACCGGTCTTTGATTTGCTTAACAGTATTGTAATCATGAACATAGTAGAATCCCTGACCTCTAGACTGGAAAACACACACGACAGACGTGCATTTTCATTGTAAAAAATCAGTGCAAATAACAGAGATCCATTCTTGTTGCAACATTGACAGAAAGTTTGCGGTCACTTTGTCGTGTAATGGCCAACAATGTTGTAGATTTGACATACCTGAGGATTCTTGTTGTGATTATTGATGAGGGTGACTTCCCAGGTTGACGTTGAGTATTCTTGTTGCCTCCAACATCGGCAAGTGGATGGGTCGCTTCACCCTCATTGCTCCTGCCACTGCATATCGATCTGACGAATCTCGACAGTTTCATCCCATCTATTGTTACTACTATTCGCAGGTCGAGATAAAGCGCTTGAGGGGGAATTGCTATGCTACGGATGTTGGGGCTTATAGGGAGCCCGGAGAGAGATGTGCAAAGTTGTTTGAAAATAAGGTGGTGATTGATAAGGACTCGAAAGGAAATTAAAGGAAGAAATAAAACCTGACATGGAATTTTGGTGTGAGTGGGAGACATTGTTTTCTCTCTTGGTGAGTATTCTTGTTGTGATTTTGGTGAAGGCAGGTGGATCTCGCCCTTAAGGAGGCCGGGGTGACTTCCCAGGTTGACGGTGAGTATTCTTGCCGCCTCCAGCATCGGCAAGCGGATGGATGACTTTTTTGTTAGGGAACTTCGGTGGGCAAGGCCAGCCTGAACTCATTTTATTGAATTTTGTTTTACAGAGTATTTACAAAGAAGGCGAAAGGGGGAAAGGGAAAAATAAAACGCTAGGAACTAAGCTACATCTAGGCTGGACAACATAATCCCCTAGTCAACCAGAGTTTGTTTCGGGGCCTCATTAGCACATCTGCTTGACCAAAAGAAGATGTGTGTTGCTAGGTCTCAGTCGACTGAGTGTTAACCAAGTCTCGGTCAAGTGATATAGTATGTAAGAAGAAGAAAAACTGAAAATAATTTTTTGTATGAATCTCCATGCCAAATCAAAGGAAGATAGCATCGACTGAGACATAATGAAATCTCAGTCGAGCGAGACTTAGCAAAACTGAAAGAAGATTTCTTGGGCTGCATGACGGAGAACAGTTCCCAATGATTACACCTCGTTCTTGAAAATTTTGGCGTTCCTCCTTTTATGATTATAGTGTTGCAGATCTTGCATGTAAGCTATGGATTTCGTTGTTCATGGATGGTTGCGCAATCAGCAGGATCAATGTTTAGGGAGTCGACAACCGTCCAGGCCTCGAAGACCGTTGGGCAGTGTAATAGCATGTGAGAAGTTGATTCAGTTTCCGAGCAAAACGGGCAGGAGTCAGAGTCTGACAGACTTCTTTGGAATTGATGCTCGTGCCACTGCAGATCGGTCTGACGAATCTCAACATTTTTCTCCCATCTATTGTTACTACTGTTCGCAGATTGAGACAAAGCGCTGGATGGGGGTTGCTATGCTATGTATGTTGGGGCCTCCATAGAGCTCGGAGAGAGACGCACATAATTTTTTGAAAACAAGGTAGTGACTGATAAGGACTCGAAAGGAAATTAAAGGAAGAAATGAAACCTGACATAGAATTTTGGTGTGAGTGGGAGACAATGTTTCCTCTTTTACAAAAAAAAAAGAACTTGAGTGGAAGACAAATGCGAGAACCAAAAAGCACGTACGGAATCAGGTGTAACACGCACGGCCAGATCTGGCAGTGACACTGCACCCATTTGAATCGTCAAATATAGTAAAAAAGGAATCCAACCTATCAATATTGGAAGAGAGCATACGAATCGAACCTGATCATCAACCTAGTGCCCGCAGATGCAAGGCCTAGTGCAGATTCCGCGCTCGGCCAAAAGCGCGTGGTTACACGTCGAAAGCCACTCCGATCGATTATAAAAGGGGACGCAGGCCACACAGTTTTCGGCAGCACCGAGCTCGAGCTAAGATCAAACACAAGGCATCGAGCCGTCTTGCCTTTTAGCATCATCTTAGCGTGTGTGCTGCTAATCCTCGTAAGTGATCACGAGTGATCTCTTATAATTTTTCGCCGCGCTTTTACAAGCCTGCAGCTCGTCAATAAATTTTCGCCGCGCTTTTACTTCCAAAGGCATTATCGTCTTGAATTTGTGGATTCTGGTTGTGCTTACTGTTCATTGTGATTATAACTGGAGCTGACAAAGTACCAAGGGCTGATCGTTAATGAGTTTACCTTTTGCTGGTAGTTTTCAAGCATGGGTGGAGGCCACGACATGCACGGCAGCCCCAACGGCGGCGTGAAGGGCTTCGTGTCCAGCCTCGTCGGCGGCGGCAAAGGCCACGGCTACGGGTCATCATACGGCCAGGGGCACGGCTACGGCGGCGGCCATGTACAGGGCTACCAGCAGGGATACGGCGGGCATGGACAGAGCTACGAGCACGGTTACGGCGGACATGCGCAGCACGGACACGGCGGCTACGAGCATGGGTATGGCGGCGGGCATGTGCAGCAGGGACACGGGCACGGGTACGGCGGACACGGGCAGCAGCACGGATACGGCGGCGGCCACGCGCAGCTCGGGTACCCTCCCGCTGCCGGCGCCTACCCTCCGCACGGGGGCTACCAGGCGCACGGCTACGCGCCGGCGGCCTACCCTTCTCACGGGGCGCACCAGGGTAACTAACTTTTATGTCTTTGCACCTTCATCATGCATGAATCAAAGTCTGAGACGTACGGGACACATAAAACGTGCGCATACGTGGGTGCAGGTCACATGGGATCGTACCACACCGGGCATGGCGGCGGGCACCACCACGGCGGCAAGTACCACGGCGGCAAGTACAACGGCGGCAAGCACGGCAGTAAGTGGATCAGGTGAAGTGGCGCGCGTGGCAGCGCGTACGTGCGTACGTGCGCGCCTCCATGGCATGCCTTAGTTGATCATTAACCATGCTCTCCGTATACTACCTAAATAAGGGCGACGCATGGTGTGTGACACTATGTAGCTTTCCTTTCAGCTGGTAATGATGTGTGTGGTGACCTAATAAGTCTGTGTGTGGCTTAGTACGAAAAATTTGTGTTTGCTGTACTGATGAAATACAAGGAATATGTACCACCGTGCTCGGCCTGTGTGTACTGATGCATCAAATATAACTTCCTATCGAATGTTCGCTTTTATTTAGGGTATGGGGCCATTTGTGCTGCTCCGGTAGGAGAACAAAGCAGCAGAGGGTGTGGAAATTTGTGAGGGGAAAGGGATGAGGAAGAAAGGTTAACAAAGTACTACTGCCTTCGATTTATTTTCTCAACTTAAGAAAAATCTTGTACCATGGTGCAATTTTTTTTCAGAACCTCGCCGGAGGGCGGGGAGCTCCCACCTTGCATTTAGAAGAAGCATAATTTGTCTCGTTAATGAAGGAAGCCAGGCCTACAAACTACATAAAGGAACAGTTAATTAAGAAAAAACGATGAAACCAACACAAAGCTGACAAGCAATCAAGGCGCATCATCCGAGCCGGATACAAGTATGCCTAGGCCCAACACCGTCAGAAACACCGCACACCTAACCAAATGAAGCTCCCGACCTCAAGACAATGCTTGCAACCATATGTGTACTTGAGCTTAACCTTATGAAGAACTTGATCAAGCATTTACCTCTACCAAGAAACAAATTGGCTGGATCATCATATGCGTGAGTGGCTTCTTGTACATCTATAGGTAAAATTTCATTTTCTCTTGCACATCCTCACTTCTTGGATGTCGCGCCTTTAAGAAAATCTCTGAAAGCTTCAGCCCACTTAAATTCAGTGCCCTTGGAAGCCGGGACGTTGTAGTTTTTGTTTTCCTTATCCACACGTCCACTACGCCTTTAGGCACAATTAGAGTCCGCTTTAATTTGTGCATGAACCGGTGCATCGAGCAAGAAGCGTGGCACAGTGTAATGGGACTGAAGCTGCTCAAGAAATCATCCAACAAGGTTGATGATGTCTGGCATTGCGGCTCGCAAATGTCATCAAGCGACTCATTGGACTCAGAAGTCATCATGCTGTGAGGGTCACCTGACGTTGTCAAACCTCTCCAACTAATCTAACAAGCAAAGCCGCTTGTGTCAGCTCCATGCCATTGCTTGAAGACACAATCTACCATAACTTGCTCCTCCACACCTTGAATCATCATCTCAGCCAAGACAAGATGCAAAGCATGATACACATCCTCAGACTGTGCCAGCGTACACTGGCGGAGCTTAGTGTAGACCAAGGGGGGCCATGCCCCCCCTTTAATTTTGGCATTCAGTGAAGTGCATGCTAGCTTTTAGGCCCAATTATTTTTTCAACAAGTGATTAGCCCCTCCTAACCTACTAATTTGTTTCCCTTGAGTCATGACCCCCTCTTAAATTTTGCTCAAGCTCCACCACTGCCATCGTAGCTAGTAACTCAGAGGTGCCACCGCTAACACTTACCTTGCTGATATCCTTAGCACCCGCAACAAGAAGATGTGCAGATTCCTCGTGCTCACACTAGGAAGGGGAGGGAGCAGTGGAGGGAGCCAAGAACACTGAGGGAGAACAAACTTGCTATCGAAGTCGTCCAACTGCTCCAAAAGGCATGCGACCCAAGTTGTCCAGTCCTGGATAGCAGCCACCATGTCACAAAGCGGCTGAACAACCTTGCCCAAACGAGAGACAAACACAGCCCGTAACTCAACGCGTAGAGTCTCCACCTGTATTGTAAGGAGAGGTTGTAGCAACCCCAAAACAACGGTAGCCATGCCGGGATCAGTCACAGAGCCTCCAGATCATGCACGGTAAGATGAACAACAACTGAAGTCCACAAGCATTGTTGTCGCTGTTGAGGGGCTGGAGGAAAGCGGCTGCACTCGCCAAGCAAGCATGTCTCATGATCGACATGGAGGCGAGTAGGAGCGTTGATGAGGAGCTTGACTAGTTGGTAAGGACAACGGGTAGTTACATTCTCGATCGCGAGGGCAGCGACAACCCAAGCACCAGACAAGATCACGACAGACAATGATGAAGTGGTCCGGCGCCTAGCAGTGAAGGATAGGCCGAACTCCACTTGAAGGTGAGGCAGAGTCTAGTCTCCTTCCTGCGAGGAAGATTGGGTGCCTTCTGCAGCCTCGGGCGATGCCATCATGATGGCATGACAAGATCACTCCATGATATGGATGACAAAGAAAGGGCTCAATAAGAAGGTAAGCTCATCCTTAGTTGTCGTAAGTGAGTCGATTGATGGTGACTAGCAGTATATCATGATTGGTTACCAAAATGTTAAGGTCGATGGCGTGGCAGGAGGTGAGATAAGAACGTGCCAAGTTAGGTCACCACGCCGTGGATGTTAG